AGATCATTAATAGGTTTGTGTCGTCCCAAGAATGGCATGAAAAAAAAAAGTACTGGATGCATCCTACGAAGCGAAGTCAACGGAAACCACCATATGGTTGTCCACTGTCAGATAGTAGTGACTCACGTCGCAAGGAACGTTTGACATGACTACCTGTACAGCGAACGCGGACAGTACTATACCTTGCGTGATGTGGTTGCTCACGTACAACTGGTCCGTTGCAAAGATAACTATGGTGGGCCATCAACGCTGAATAGTGACAAGAATTGCGATTATGCTGTGCTCTGTGAATCAGTCTGACTTGCGGGCCATTTGTGTTGCTGGTTACCTTGTCACGAGCTTAGTTTCTGGTTGCTCGTAAGGGACAGTGGTACAGCCATGGTTCTAAGGAAGGGAAGACCCACATGTCGACCATAAGGTCAGCTTACCCAGTAACTCGACGGTCCCAACACAAGTATATCAGTATGCAATATTCGGATCCTGGTGGGAGGAAGTGAAAGGTAGACGGGGTCAACGAGTGTGAGGATATAATGGGATCGAGTGCGGGGCAGTGGATGTGCTGCGAAAATTTTCCGGGTTGGATGATTGCATGTACTAATATGTCAATACATCACCTTCTTCGACATGCTTTCGCCAACCTGCCCTATGTAGACGAATACACCAGATCTTGTGGAGCTCATGGATCATTATAATGACCCGTACAGCCAAATCCGCGTCGTTTTTCCTGGTCCTAAACCTTCGTAGCTAGGTGAACAAACAGAGATGGAGAGATGAAGATACAGGTTAAGAGATCAAGAAGATGAAAAGGGCAAAGGTGAGTAGAAAAGCGTAGATCACAAAGGAGAATGCGATCTAGTGTGTGGGGGGAAGGCCGCCGAACACTATGCTCTGGAATCGAGCGAGCGTGCCGAGACGCCGAGATGCCGAGACTGCACATGCACAGAGCGGAAGTCACGTGACTGCGAGACCGAGAGATTGAGGGTGGAAGAGGTCACGTGACCCGGTCGAGGGAGGGATCGAAACGGAAGAGTGCGTGGAAACAAGCGGCGTGGCCTTCTGAGCGTGTAAGAGCGGGCGAGTGGAAGAGAGGAGGAGAGGCCACAGGTCCGACCATAACAGAGCTAAGCTCACAACGGAAGTGGCCTCGAGACACCCCACACACTGGAGTTAAGCACAGGAGCGATCAGAATAGGATTCCTAGCAAACATATACAGAACAATGGTACTAGGAACAGGGAGCATCAAGAACGGGAAGGTACTGTATGGAGATTGGTACGACAAGCGAAATTGTCCATGATTGAATCGAGAGAAAGTAAACGGGTGGAGTCAGCAGATGAAGAAATGAAGAGAGGAAGTATGCTATTGATTTGACGCCAGTAATCTAAAAAGGCCTGCAATTTCCATCTTCCTTGAGTGGCGACCATGTCAGGAGGCACTCCCTGAAGTAAGAGTTCTGTAGCCCCCCCGATGCAAAAGGCGTGACCAGGCATATCGGGGAAGCCAGCAGAAACCCAAATCTGATTGCAACGGTTGAGAAACCAGGCGTGGGTCATGGGAGACCAACCGGAAGATGTACAAAATGCGAAGAGAGGAGCATCCGATGGAATGCTGAGACTGCCTGTGCAATGGTTCAATAAGGCTAGAAGGGGACAGGTGTGGTGATCACGAGAAGTGACAGAAATGTCCGTGCCAAGAGAGAGGGTGGTCTTATACCAGGGGATGTGGAAAGTAGAGTGACACATACCATTGTCTAACGAAGAGATGGAAAGAGGGAGGATTTGCCAGGAGACATGTTTAGATGGGTCAAAAACGTTCTGGGAGGGAATGAGAAGTTTGCCAAGGCGACAGCAAGACCAAAACGCTACCGAGGCAAGAGCCCAAACAGACACATCAAAAGTGTTGGCCAGATCCAAACGATCGTGAAGAATGCAGAGAGTCTCAATGGTAACAGGAGGGCGTTTGTCACGTTTGGAAGATGGGGGGACAAGTTTAGTGAAGCCTCTGCGAACATGGCAAAGCATGTCATCTCTGTACCAAGGGGCGCCGTTAACAATATGCCAAAAATGGAGGCTGGCAAGCCAGTTATTAAGCATCTTTTCTGAGGTGTGTCCAGCATGATGTGCAGAAAAGAGGGAAATGATCTCAGGTGAGGCTGGCATACGGGACTCCTCCGGGAGAGTGAGTAAGTCACAGAATTGAGTAAAACGGAGAAGACCCGCTCCATAGTTGGAATGGGTGCTATGGTCTAAGGATTGAAGCATGACTTGAAAAAGGCGGAAGACTGATTGTTGGGGAAAAAGGCTCTCGAGGGAGGACAAGAAATCAGCACCGTGGGGGGAAGACCAACATATGAGACAGTCACTGGCAACAATGTGTGGATGCCATGGGGAGGGTTGGATGGAGGAGCCAGGACGAGGTCGACGGGGAGTTTTGGAATGGATGGTGCTTAAAGAGGAAGCGACCATGTGATGAGAGAGGGAGTCGGCATTAGCATAAAAGGCAGAGGCAGCAGCATTGGGGTCGATGTCTGAAAGGAACTCTTCAAGAGGAGAAGGGAGGACCATGCTGAAAGGAGGAAGTGATGGAGGAGTGGAGTGAAGGAGGGTCAGGGATGCACGTAGAAATAGAGGGAAGGATGCCACAGGAAATTGGATCTGCCAAGTTGTTGGCAGATGAAACATAAGAGAAAAGAAAGTGAAGCCGTGCCTTGTGGGACAAGAGAGCCGAGCGGCGGATGGCTAGATTGGTCATGTAATTGCGACAATGACCCTTTTCGAAAGCAGCAATTGCACCTTGATTGTCACTGTGTATTAAGATGTCTGAGTGGGAGAAGCCACGGTTAATTACCAATTGGATGGCAAGTTCGATAGTGACAGCTTCAAGCCAACCAATATCATGGTGTGAGTCTCACCAATGAGTAGCCAGGGGCCAGGCCATCCACGAGTCACCAAAGATGATACCGATTCTGAAATCAGTAGACATGTCGACCCAAATTTGCAGATCCAAGGGAGAAGAACGAGGTGAAATTGAACGTGGGGGTTGGGGGGAGCTAAGAAGATTGAGCCACCAGGAAAGATTGGAAACAACTGAAGGGTGGATGAAGCGAGGTTTAAACTCATCAGGGAATTCAGAGATCCAGTGATACAAAGGGGAGATGAACAAGCAAGCATGAGGGAAGACAAAGGAAATGTGGTTTAGAGTACCAGCTATCTTCTTGGTGTCACACTTGAATATGCAAGAATTGCGAGAAGAGAGAAAGGTGGATAAACGGAAGGTGTATTTGCAATGCTTTGACTCTAGGAGCGTAACTGATTTGTGAGGGATGTCCCATAGGAATCTGAGATACTCTACGGTATCACCAAAAGGCTGGCCTTTTTCTTTATGCCAAGGAATGCCTAAGGGAGTGATAATGGCTTTGGCATGTTCAAGATCATAATTGTAGTGATAAACTTCACCATCACAGATGCCTAGAAAGGGACCAGAAGGAGAAGGAGAGTGAAAAAGATTGAAATCGTCGACCCATTTGATAGATGGGCCTACGCCGTGAGCATCCCAAATATCTATGACTGCATCTGCGACTTCACCTTGGAGACTGGAGGCGGGAGAAAGTCCAAAAGGAAGAACATGATCTAAAAAGAATTGATCATCAAACATGACAACCAAGAAGCACTTGTGATTGGGGAGAATAGGGATACCACGGTAAGCAGCTTCAATGTCAAGGGAAGCAGCTTGTGTGCCCGGTGGGGCACGAGCGATCTAAATGAATGAATGAGAACAGGGAGTCATGAATGAGAGGAGCGATAGAAAGTGGGGGGCAAATGATGAATGTGTCATTGAAAGGCAGCCCAGGGAAGAAGAGAGATGGAGGGGAAGTGTGCCTTCAAACCATCAGGAAGGACCCAGAGAGGGGACGATCCTTCAGGCAAAGTGCATCCACACCCAGAACTCCAAAGAGAGAAGAGGAGGGGAATGAGAGTGAAACTAACCAGAGAAGCAGCAAGTTCAGCTGAACCCCATCTAGTGGGAAACTCATCTGGATCAATTTGGTCATTGACTGAAAGACCAGGAGTGCCTTTGTGGGAAAGGTTCCGACAGACATGAATCTTAGAAGGAGAACCTTCGACACCAGGTTTGACAACAATCTGGAAAGGTGACAATCTAAAGGGACCAATCTTGTGAAAAAGTTCGGCAGAAGAGAAGGGTCCAGAGAAACAACCAAGAGAAAGCTCTTCATGAATATAAGTGCAGATGGTGTCATGAAATTCAGCAATATTACAGTGGTTGGATGGGGTGTAAGAATGGGTAAGGGGAGGCAGATTGCCAATGGGGAAGCTGTGGGTGAGTTTGAAAGGCAAATCTGGATATTGATCAAATAATTTACATGCATGGAGGAAGGAGTTGAATGCAAGTGCTGAATAGGGTGTGATGATGTGAGAGAAATCTGGATCCAAGTCATAGGGAGATGAGAGAATGCAAGGACAGCCAGAGAAGATGAAATGAGGAGGAAAAATGTCAGCTGGACATAGAAAGGGTAAGGGAGTGTGGAATTTAGGCTGACTTGTGATTAGAGGCACCGTGGTCTTGGGAACCACAAGCAGCACAGAGATGTTGGTCAGGATGGTTGTTGCAACAGGGCTTCCTGGCGAGCTGATAGAAGAAACACAGTGGGGAATTGTTGTTGCGACGGACAAGCTTTCCATCTTGAGATTTTGCAAATGTTTGTTGACCTTTCTGCATAGTCTCTTTGTTGCAGGATGAGTATTTGTGGCCTGATCTGAGGCAGATGATGCAAGTGGGAGAGTGTTGCTGACCATTCCGAAAGGAATCATCAGGGGAGTCATTATGAACTTTGTGGTCATAAGGCGAAAAACAGTGTCCATGAGAAGACTTGTCTGTGGGGACAGTGGGGGCAGGAGGGGCTTGGAGGACGCTGACTTGTGTGTGGAGATATTTATTTTTGTATTCCTCAGTGGTGAGGAAGAAGTCAGGGTCAGATGCTGCAGTGGAGCGAACGTCCATGTCGAACTGAAGGATGGCTGGGAAGCGCTCGTGGAACTTATGAATGTGCATGAGAAAGTGAAAGTGGCAGGACCACATGTGCTTTGCAATGAGACCCTCTTGAGTGCCAATCCAATTGATATAGTGCTCCCAGGCTGAATGCCAGTCCAAAGGGAGCATCTCCTCTTCAGGAGGAAATTGGGTGATGTCAAGAATATGAACGTTCTGACCGTTCTGGTGAACCTTGACCGTTTTAACAGCAAGAGGTTGGTTCTGTAATTTATGTAGAGCGTCATAGGAAAAAAGGGTTAAAGGTACATGGAAGCCGGCATCAGCGAGGTTGTTAATAAGTTTGGGGATGGGAAGGCACGTGCTGTCCAGAGAGAAAATGGGAGCATTGTCCAAAAGGTCAAACAGGAGAGCACATTGAACCTTGAACCAATGAGTTGAGGTTGGGGAGTTGCAGTGGTTCTCAAGCAAAGAGTCTAGTGCAAGCTGGTCTGAGGGGGGAAGCAGCATATATGTGGCCAAAATTTGCTGGGAGGGGTTACCAGCATTGCTAGTGGGCATAACCACTGAAGAAGGTGGGGGCTGAGTGGTATTAGCGGACGAAACAGGAGGAGCGGGGACTGAAATGGTGGGGTTGGCAGGGGTAGATGAGATTGGAACAGCTGTGACTACCAGAGCAGAGGTGGGAGCAGACTGTATGCCAAGACCAGCTGGGACTGCGGGAGTGAAGGGGATACCAGCAGGGGGGCCAGACATGATGTAGAGCGAAGAACTGAGGAGTATATGCGCAAGAACGATGAATGCTTGGATGAGAGACGACGAAGGTCGAAGACGAGAGAGGCGAGAGACAGGGGAAGTAATCTAAGTCTGAACGCGTCTTAGATTACATAATGTTCACGTGATCGCTACGAAGGCCCTCTTGACTGCGTCCAAGATCGCAGGCTCACTAGTTAGCAGTAAACGTCCAGAATATGATACTGTAGTGAGATAGGTCACGTGCACTGATCCGATGATATCAATAGCTGAACGAGCTTGTCTTTTCTTCCTCTGAACTCCAAGACCAGCTGCATTGGCGGGCTTGCCAGTGACGACGATGGGTACGTACCAGCATTCACTGGAGAGGCTGAGACCACCCTATTGACAACTTGCTCGGGTTAAGATCCGAAAAATATTGAAATCGCATCTCCGGGCACTCCATCCAATGCAGTATATGCGATCACCTTTGCGGGGAAAGTCAGGTGGTGGCAGGATATCGCACAGGTGGAATTCGTCGATGGCAGGTTAAAGATGGACAAAAACAGGGTCCAACCTTGGAGTTCCCTGTACCAGTCCAAGCCATTACCTTTTCTCGAGATGGCCGGTGGATGGTGACCGCAGACTCGGAGGATAATGTGATCGTCTGGAATGCGACTACTCATAAAAAAGTGCACAAGATCACAGAACGTTGCGGCGGCGTATGGGGGATTGATATCTCTCGAGCGACAGTACTAAAATGTTGACTGCGGATCGCACCACTGCTCGGATGCTCAGCATCACTTCCGGTGCCCGATTGCTTCCTCCTCTGATACACGATTGGGTTCTTAGTGTCAAGTTCTCCCCAGACGGCAGTCAGTTCGCTGCCGCCACGCAAAATCAAGGCTTCAGCGTCTACAGCACCGATGATGGCGGTATTTTGTACAATTCAGGTCCTATGGATTTCACCCCAGGATGGCTGTCCACTTCGTTGGCTTGGTCATCCGAAGGTCAGCAATTGTTCGTCGCGAGCAAAGGCAAAATCACTTGTTTCGACCTTTGCAACTTCTTCATCTTCAGAATGGCCGGTCCATGGAACTGGACGCTGGGTGTCTATTACATCCAACGGTAGATTTGTCGTGTGCCCCGCGAACTCATCCGTTTCAATATGGGACTGCACATCTCACAAGCAGATCGGCAGCATTATCCCTCACACTGCAGAGGTCACAGGCGTTGCACTCTCACCAAGTGGGGAGTATCTCGCATGCGGGTTATTTAGCGGGAAAATCATAATTCACAATCTCAGAGATGTCCTTCCCCCTGAGTATTTTAACTGGCATAATGTAAGTGTTCATCTACTCACGAAACTTGCATTGCCAACAACTATCTCGCTACGTAACGATTTAATTTGTCAAAAAATTCATGCTTCTCAGCTTCCACTTGTACAAGTGAGTGAAGAGACCGTCAAACAATGGATACAGGGCGACACGACGAAGACCGAAAGGTTGCTCTCAGCAGAGATTACAAGCGCTTCAATTCCTGGATATTATGTACTAGCAAACCGCTCGCTTATAAGATCGCGTTTGAAACGCCCGTTGCCTGCAATGGAGGATGCCAAGGAGGTTAGTCTGCTCTAGGCTCACTACTCGCTGCGAATGTTCACTCATGTGCGTCCGAAGTCCCTCCAGGTTCAGCCATCGCCTATCGCCCATATTGCGATGGCGGTTGCTCTGCTTGGCCTTGGTGATCTTGATGGTGCACTATGGACATTCGACCTTGCCTTTCATGTCTGTGAGCTGCACGACATCAGATTTCTCTTACTACTGAAGGTACGCCACGTAATCTAGGTCGTTACCACAATAACTTTACTGTACATTCCACCCAGGCGATCCTTGTGTTCGAATCCGGAAATCGAGAAAAGACGATAACACGCGTAGAGTACTTTGCAACGAGTGCAAACGATGACAACGATAACGAGGCCACTTATCTTTACACCCAGGCATGTGCTCCGGGCGATCCAAACTTGTAAGTATCACTTCTGACACACTCCGCAGGTCCTTGCAGTAATGTACATGAAGAACGGAGATTACGGACGTGCGATACCACTGATCGAGCGTGCGAGGAGCCTAGCCCCCAAGGACAAACAGTGTCCCCCCTTAGTGACGATTTCGCTCGTAGGTCTTTCTACCCTTACTATCTATTAGTCTAATCCTCCATGAAGATTTTTGGGTGGAGTTTCAATGAACCAGACATCGTTGCTCAGCAACAGTTGTGCGAAACCCTCTATTCTGAAGAACGTGCAGCCGAAGCTGTTGAGATTCTCCTCAACATCATAGGGACATCAGACGACGAGATCCTGAGGAGCAAGTCAACTGCAGACTGGATCACAGGTCCGCTTTGTAGCTGCCAGTGTGGTTGATGTCCACGTTAATGTCTGCCATCAGATTGCACCAAAAAATGCGTTACGACGGTTGAACATGTTGGCGATAATGCTTCGGGATCTGCTGCGCTGTCTATTGGTCCTCAAAGTCCCGCAGGTCTGTTTATCAGGCGGAGCAAAACTCGAGCGGCGAACGGATTGTGGGAGGATGCGCTGCAGGATGCAAACATGGTATGCATGGTTTCATCGTACAAGCCGGTTCCCTACAGTTTTCACATAGGCAGTGAAAATGGAGCCCTCCAACCCTTTGGGCTACAAGACGAAGCACATGGCGCTTCATGGGGCGAAACGGTATGGCGAAGCGATCGATGCTTTCAAGTCTATGCTGCAGGTGATTGAACAGTCTAATGACCTTGCAATCAGACGTATGTATCTCCTGTATGGATATCATACCCACAAATGACGGCTGCGCAGAACTACGAAAGAACTACATTTCTCCATCTGAGACGATCAGGGTTATTGATCTTACCGTTCGCGATATCCTCAAAAACTGTCCCCTCGTCGTCATCCATGTCACCTCCGGTTGCCTTTGTGATGGTCTTCAGTGGATGCGTATCTTCAAGGCTGACCCGTTATTCAGAGAGCTTGTTTCATCCATGATGTCTTACTCGCCTCCGTCCAACCTCGTTACTTTAATGTGCCTCAGCCTAGACAAGGCTCAAGAACGTTCAGAAGTACCTTCCATATGGAGAGTGGGAAGAGAACACTCTGTATTCTCTCAGAGGCTTCCCTGTTGATCTACTGAGGCCATAGCCTGGCACGATTGTGAGTACCACGGCACGGGAGTGTGGATAATGCTTGCTCCTATGCTACTTCATACCGTGTGCGTCGCGAGTGCCACCGGGATAGGAACTTCACATGCTGCGCATCGGATATGATCCATATCGACCCTAGATGGCTTCGACGCATTCTGGGGCACTAAGTCAGTGTCTGGTTAGCTAGGCCTTATTTTGTTTGACATAGGCGTCCACCTCGAAGTTAGACTGGATTTAGATATAGATAAGATCTCTAGAATCTGAGTTGACACATTTCCAACTCCGCAGTATAGGGGCGGACCGCGGTCTCATTTTGCCAACCTCAAGTACCATCCACGATATTAGAGTCTACAGTGGGCAAACTTGTGCAACGCTAGTATTACGCTCTTTTCTCCTGTAGGATCGCGTCATGCATTTCAACCCTCTATTCTAAGCTCCTGTCAAGGTCCGGTCCCCGCAAAATGCAAGCCCGGTTGGTGACCTAATTTTCGTCGCACATTACTGGTCCCCAAAGACTTGGGTACCTCGCACTGGTTCTGGTCATCTGGTTGTGCTTCACTGACTAGAAGCTATGCATTTCATTGGTACACAGGGGACATTCCATCAGAGCGCATTCTGTTCGCGTCGTGTTCGCGTCCGTTCCCGTCTACAGTTGCCGTGCAGGACCACTCGATGAACCAAGTGACCTCCCCGCTCATGGATATTTCTCCGGTCATGCCTCTGATAAATTATATAGGGGTCTCAGAGTGACGAAACCTCTCAGCATTCTGATCCTGTGGGAGGGGTGTCAATTGATTATCTTCACGTGAAACAACGTGCAAAGACGGCTCTTTTTGTGTTCCCCGCATGACGTGAAAGCGACTTTCCGGTCTCTATTTGAAAACGTGCATCGTGATGGAGAACGCGCCGACATTGTTCCGACTATGGGACCACCTATTTAAAGGGGATGAACTTCGGTGCACTCTCTACAACGCCCACTTCACCACCTTACCAGAGCTCAACTCAACCCTTCTTTCCAATGCCTTTCGCAGGTGACCCATTGGCCCACTACGGCCAAAGGATTATCGAAGATTATCATGCCTCTCTCACTGCCAAGCTCCCCAAGCTTGACTCCAATAAGACCGGTTTCTTTGACATTTCAGATGAGACACTGCGCTTTTTCCCCAACCAAAAGGTCGGAATCTTGGGCGCTGGTGTCGGTGGCCTTTATACTGCGTTGATGCTGGACTCTCTGGATATCGAGTACGAGATCCTAGAGGCTTCAGACCGCATTGGTGGCCGTCTCTCCACGTACAAATTTCCAGGGGGACAGAAGTACGATTACTTTGTGCGCCTTTCATCTCTTAGGTGTGCGCAATGGTATGATACTAATCTTGCCTCGTCATTTAGGATGCTGGAGCTATGCGTTACCCCCTTCCGAAAAAGGATGAACAGGGACGGTACAAGAATGGGGTTATGAAGCGCCTGGCCGAGTTGATCATCTATCCTCCGTTAAACGAAGGTTCAGATCGCCTCGAGGACAAGCTTATTCCTTACTACTTCAATGCTCGCGAAGGTCCCAACTTGAAACCGGGCTTCTACTACTACAATGGTGTCCGCGAACGAATCTCTGACAAACCTGGACCTTTCCGTGCTGAACAGCTCGGCGTCTCTGCTAGCTATATCAAAGCAGGTCCAGATGCTATCCACAGCGACGTCAATGGCCCGTTTGCCAGGATGCTCATTGAAGATATGGAGCAGGGAACGAAGGACGGTTGGCGGGTTCTGATGGCAAATGACAAGTATTCCGTCCGCGCATACATGTCATTCAAGTACATCTCCAGTGCTGACCTCGGCCTTGCTCCTCAACATCTTTCCAATGATGTGATCAACTGGTGCGAGTCTCGCGAAGACAGTACCAAGGCGTTTGACCACGGATTGTCGGAGGACGTCTTTGACGCATTGGCATTTGACGTGGTCGGTGGTTCAGACTTCGGTGACGTTGATTGGAGGTGTTTCGAGTGAGTTCAATACGCTAATTTGTCTCCTGATTTAATAATCCACCAAACACGGCACAGTGGCGGCTCAGAAGGGCTGTCGAACAAGATGGCAGAAGTTATCGGTAAAAAGGGGAACCGCATCCAGCTCGGCAAGCGAGTTACGGGCATAAATCAAAGTCATGACCTAGTTATCACTGTTCCCTCCGATTTTCCAAAGCACAAGCTTCCTCCTGGAGTGATCGAATTGGAGAATGACACTGGCACCGGAGCCGTTGTTGCCAGTGTGTCCGAGATCGTTGGCCGGCCAAGGCCATCGAAGAAAATCCTCATCCGGAAGGCTGGTGTCGCGATCACAGTCCACGAAGAATCTGCGCCTCGCGTCTATTCCCATGTTATATCTACCCTCCCTCTTACCGTGCTTCGCACGATAGATATGACAGATGCAGGGTTGAACGTCAGGCAGAAGAATGCTCTGCGTCAGTTGGAGTACGGTCCTTCCGTCAAGATTGCTATTCGCTTTAAAGAGCCATGGTGGACCACCAAGCTAGGCATCGTTGGTGGGCAATCATTCACGGATCTTCCTATTCGTACCATTGTCTACCCGTCCTACGGCGTCGACTCTGATACCCCGTCCACGGTACTTATTGCAAGCTATTCCTGGACCAGTGACGCGGAGCGTCTCGGAACTCTTGCAGGGCCGGACAAGGTTGGAGTGCTGAAGGGGCTTGTGCTTCGTAACCTTGCAGAGGCACACGGTGATCCAATTACATACGAATTCCTGCGAGAGCAATTCGTTGACATTCATGTCAAGGATTGGGCCCGTGATGCATATTCAATGGGTGAGACTGAATACGGTTCAACTTAATATTTTGCTGATAACGAGTCTAGGGGCTTATGCATTCTTCGGTCCCGGTGACTTCAGAGATATGTATACCTCCCTAACTTACCCTGCGGCGAACAAACGTCTGCACTTCGCGGGTGAAGCGCTAAGCACTCGTCATGCGTGAGTAGTATTAGGGACTGAGTATGAGCTCTGATGGCTCACCGTGTCACGTAGATGGGTTGTCGGTGCTCTTGACAGTGCCTGGAGAGCTGTACACGAATATCTTAGCATCACAAGGCAAGACGATAAGATGAAGAGATTCAATGAACTGTGGGGCGAAAATGTGGAGTGGGCGAGTCCCCCAGGACAATTCAACGATGACCAGGCCAATTTACTTCACGAGCACCTGGGGCTGGTTCATCAAGCTATTCTTGCTGGAGAGATTCAACATTCCGGTTAGTAACAACGCGATGAGGGGGAACGTTAAGTGACTGTTCTGTTTTAACCAAGCACTGTAAGTCGTACCGCATGTAGTTGTGGCGTCCGTATCCCGTGTAACATGTAACATCTACCACCGAGTACTGTTGATTGACATGAATGATTGCCTTTCTTGGAGTAATGGAACAGGGACTGATCTTCTGGGCTGGAAGAAGTCTATTAGAATACCAAACAACCTGCGCCTCCATTTGAGCCACTTAACGCGAGAAAATAGCAGTATTTTGTACCTGCATGTGCCGGTTCGACACCCTCTTTTTGATGACCCCGATGACACCTAGCTCAGAGTGCCAAGGTCGCCTTCACGCAAGACCCATTATAATTTGACAAGACAACGCGACACAGGCATAACGCATTTCTTCCCCAAGTTCGGCTATTGCATAAAAGCTCCAGCGGATGTTGTTTTGCGTTTGTTGCAGTGTAACGCTCACCGGATGACGGTCTTCGTGGCGGTGGACCCGTCGTGATGCATAGCTGATGAGTATCCGAGTACGATTCAGAGACTCGTTTCTTTGTCGTCGCCACCTGATGTCATGACCGCGGAATATGGCAACTGACCCCGTCCCTTTGCGAGTAAAAGGACAGCAACTTCCGCCATCGAGGGTTTATGGCAAATTTATGATGCCTAACCTCCAAAAGTTCACACCGGCCTCTCGTTCTCTAACATGGGCGTTCGTGTGGACACAATTCACCTGAGAATTCGGGGGGGATTAACGTTCAGTACGAGGAAACAGTGAGTCAATGAACGACCCTGTCGCTCGAGGGGGCTCCCCCCAATTGAACAGAGCTGGTGGAGTCTCACGATAACTCTGTGAGTACTACCTTTTCTTAAGAGTTAGGTTCCTAGTTTCGAGTATGTCCTCTGGTAAGTCATTCCTACTCGATCAAGGGCTGACAGGCTACTGTTGTCTTTCGCAAGAGGAACAGGAGATTTGTCCAAATTGTATATAATACATGGTGGGGAATTTGTCCTCGCTAGCAGCTCGGTCAGATCCATGTCTTACTATCGGAAGGAAGGCTGTCGCTCATGACTACTGCTCATAGTGCTGATACAAATATGCCAAAGGTAAGCATTCCTTTCAACCCACAGCGGCCCTCGGTGGTGTGTTACAGTGGTACAGACGCATGCCTACGGAGTGCGCTAGGATTGTTTACAACACAACGCTTACCCGATCACCTTCACCACATTATTAGCCGCGGAGCCTCTCCGACCAAGATGGCCTCGCGATCGAGCCCCGATCAGGAAAATAACACTGTATTATTTTTGACTTTTTGTGACTAATGTGACTTTTTGGGAAGGAATCTACTATCATTACCCATGTCCTGCAGGCATGGCTGCACTTTTCTTGCTGATTTTGGTCTTGTTCAAACCACCTAATTCATAGCTTTCAGTAGATACCACATACATTCAAATTGATGGAGGTTCCAAAGAGATATTGTGATTTTTCTCTCAGACAGTGTGCATCACACCAATGGCTCAATATCTCTGAATTTTCAGACATTTTCTAGTCTTCTTGGCTTAGATATATCATCACTTAGTTATCTCAATAGATTCTGTTCTCTTTTCATTCTTTAAAATGCTGTATATGGTCAAAAAAAGTACAGATAGTAGGTTCCTTCCCAAAAAGTCACAAATAGTCACAATAGTCACAAAAAAGTCAAAAACAGTAAAGTGATAATTTCCTGATGGAGGAAGGTGTGGCCATGCTCAGCCTCTGGGTAGGCTTCAAGGAAGCAACACTCATCTGACTTGAAGCTGAGTGGCAGAGTGCAAAGAGGTGAAAGAGAGCAAAGCCCCCAAAAAAGAAAAGAAAAGACAGCAGGTGAGGGGTGAGGCATGAGTGAGTTAGCAGACCCTGAGAGCCACTTACATGTCAATGAACTCATGTGCAATGATGGACCTCTGGCTATGCTTTGCAGCAAGCTTGTGATTTTGATGCTGATACCAGTTGGATGGCCAATCCTTCAGTGGGACTGTGAGACCATGATTGGGATTGCCATAGAGCCAGTGAGTGATGATGTCATGCCAGGACTCACTCCTTGGATGTTGTGAGCCATCTGAACACTGAAGTGGTGTTCCTTCCCAAAAAGTCACAAATAGTCACAATAGTCACAAAAAAGTCAAAAAAAGTCACAAAAAGGTCAAAAATAGTAAAGTGTTAATTTCCTGATGCCAGGAACAGGGTCAGAACTTGTTGTGTGGCATCCAGCTCTCTCACTGCATATCCAGCAGTGATTATAATTCAACTATGGAATGGCCATGAGACACCAAGTGAATATTTGGTTACATATCTGGACTATGTTCCATATGTTCTGTTTGTCCTGGTGGCAATCCACTACATGCTTATGTAATGCCTTTTTCACCCACATCACAGGATGAATCACCTTGTTTACAAGGTCACTGCACCCTGAAAATTGAGACACTTATTTTGACATCTGTGCATATGCCCCAACAACAAGTCTGTGGCAAATCCCACCAGCCACATAGCCTTGTAGTGAGCATCAATGATTGCAAGGCAAGCCAATGACTGATGATGGACATTATGTATCATAGTAGTTTAGTGTATGGTGCACATCATCATGTCTGAGCATGTAAATGTTTGTATACAGCTCCTGATGCCTTCATCATTTGCCACCACTGCTTCATCCTTTCATCCATTTTATCCAAATGCTCATCTTCATTCCTTAAATATTCACTGGGATGCTGTGTGAAGAGCTGCTGTCACACACCAAAGGTGTTGTGGACATGGTTGCAGCTGACTCTGCCTAACTTGTTGATGATGTGGGTCAAAGTGTGGTTCAGTGGTGGAAACCAACCAAAACCAACACAAAAGACAATAAGAGTGAGTGGTGGTGTGCTTATGTGGTACCTAGATGGTCACATAATGTACCTACTTTGTACTGTATCATATGACCAAACAAGGTTGACAATTGGCCATGTTGCACAGACCAGCTAAAGTCAAGCCCACCTCTGAGTTGTCATTGTGTCACACAGCATAGCCATGATCATTGGATGTCACCATACTGCACAGTGTGGCTGAGGGGTTACTACTATATACATCTTGCCTGGATAATCCTGGCATAGATTCTGGCAAGTTGGGAAAGGTCTGGTACTAACCTGGTCTGGGCTCACTGGCATGAGCCCAGCATGTGTCATCAATTGCCAGTGGGTCAGAAGGCATTCCACTGTAATTCTATTGGGTTGGTATGAATGCCAGGCTAATTCCAGTAAGCTGGGACAAATGCCAGGATAATGCCAATAAGCCAGGAAACATACCAGTCTTATGCTAGTGGGCTGGTACAGATGCCAAGGTGGTGATGGTCAGTTGGCATGGATGCTAAGCTAATTCCAGTTGGCCAGTATGGATGACAGCCACCACACTATTTCCAGTGGGTCAAAAGGCATATCAATGTACATCCATTGGGCTGGTATGAGTTATGGCCACTTCTAGTATGCTGGGACACATACTGGCCTTATGCAAGTGGGCCATGACAGGTGCCTGGATTATGGCAGGTAGTTGGAATATATGGCTAGCCAGCTTTCATGCTGGTATTAGTAAGCTGGGACCCATACTGGTATAGTGCAAATATGCTGGAATAGAGGATAAGCTGGTGGTGGTTTGTGGGCATGGATGCTCATCTAATTCCAGGTGGGCCAGATGGATCACAGCCTCCAGGATATTTCCAGTGGATCAGAAAGCATGCTAGTGGGATTCTATTGGGCTGGTATGACTTCCTGACATTTCCAGTTAGCTGGGTCAGATCCCATGTTATTGCCAGTGAGCCAGGATATCTACCAGGCTGAATCTAGGGGACTGGCAGGGGGCCAAGGCTGGTGACAGTTGGTTGGCATCAATTCCTAACTAACTCCAGTTGGCCAGGATGGATCACAAACTCCAGGCTATTTGCAGTGGTTCAGAAGGCATTCCAGTGGGATGGTATTGGGCCAGTATATGTTCCAGCCAAATCCAATCAGCTGGGTTAAATTCCCAGTTGACAATGATGACCCAGGATACCTACTGGCCACCATATAGTGGGCTGGCACAGGTCCAGGGCTGGTGGCAGTTGTTTGGCATCAATTCTGAACCAACTCCAGTTGGCCAGGATGGATGACACCCCCCAGGCTATTTACAGTGGGTCAGAAGGCACTCCAGTGGGATTCTATTGGGCTGGTATATGTTCTGGCCAAGTCCAGTCAGCTGGGCCAAATTCCCAGTCAATGACTGTAACCCAGGACACATACTGGCCTTATGCTAGGGGACTGGGACAGATGCCCATCCTATGGTGGTTGATTGGCATGGATGCCCAGTTAAGGCTGCTTAATGTTACCAGTGTAGATGATGGGCTAGTCTTTTGGCATCCTCTGGCAAATGCATGAGCCATACAAATAGTGTCCCATATATATTGGCTTGGCTGGGAAGCTATTGCCTATAGGGCTTATATATCAGTGGCCCATGTAATAAGGCTTGGCTGGACCTGCAGTGTTCCATTTGGAATGGTGGGAGCATATTTCAGTGTGCCATGCCCATTGGCCTCAGCCCAAATAGGAGTGCCCATGTACTATGGAGGGCTTATAGTCCATTGTACCATGTCCTTGGGGTGGGCCCAGATATTATGATCCTGTAGGACAGGCTGGACAAATACTCCAGTGTTTCATGGTGTATGGGAGGCCCATGATACAGTGTCCCATCTGTCTTGAGTCAGCCCATGTATCATGATCACCAATCCATGTGGTCTGGCACATATGCCATGGTCTCATGCACAACAAGCAAGCCAATCTCTCAGTGTGCCATCTGACTGGATTTGGCCCAAGTTGAAGTGTTCTGCCAATTACAGGCCAGCCATAGTCAATATTTGGGGAGAGGTATATGGAAAATAACTTGGCTCAGGATGGGATATAATATCTATAGAACTACCTTTACATGGACCCCTATTGGATAAGTGTAGGTTATATAGAATGTCCCACCAGACCTGCAGGCATCAACCAAGTCTGGACATTCTGAACTCTCATACAATCCCCATGGGGTATCCCTATCCAATTGTGTGTGTTGTTCCTCATGTAGTAGGCAAAGCAACATCAGTTCCCACCCACAGAACTAACCCCATGTTGAAGAGGCCAGCCAGAAAATGCAACTACAGTGCCAGGGTTGTAAAGGAACTGAAGGCCAAGTGTGGGGATGTCCAATACAAAATCTTCATAATCACCAACCATGACCAGCATGTCATACCAATCAGACTGTGAGTGTGGGTCCTGGTGAAAGGGTGTGGTCCAGTTAGAGATTATGGAGACATTAGTAAAAACTGATGGCCAGTGCTGCAAGGCATCCTGCATATCTCAGTTATGCTGACTTGACCATGTGTCCAATGACTGCATGGCTTGCCTTCCAGCATCATACAGGCCTGGGTGCATAATTGAAAGTGCACCAGAGAGGATGGCAGCCAGGAGGTAAGACTGCTGGGACCATTCATGACCAGCATCATCATCTGTAGGTCAGCAGAAACTGATGGGGCAAAGTTCAGGGTCTGGATGCCACTTGAGAGACATACCCCTGAGGTAATATAACCATACCATGTGCCCCTGTTGGTACCTGGCCAGGGAAAACTCCAGGCACCCTGGTGACCATGAAGTGTGATTGAAAGATTCAGCATTTTTATGCCAGGAGCCAATTGTCATACTCTTGGACATTGCATGGTGAAGGGGGTCCAGAGTGGCAAGCATGTGTGTCTGCAGGGATGCCTGAATAATATAGAGTGTAAAGGAAATGTTCAAACTGACTTGCAAATCATTGGTGATGGTGCCAGGAAGGTACCACAATGCAAGGTATCACCAGTACCAAGGATTACTGTAGGTTCATCCACAAAGCTGGTGAGAGTTGATGGATGTGCTGCCAGGTGGCCTGCCTCCTGGGTTTCATCAACCCCCAATTCCATAGCTGAAAGGTGCTCAGAAAGCCAGATCAGATTGATGCCACTTTGCTCTGCAATACAATTTACATTTGATTTTACATACAGCCAGGACATCAGCTTACTTCTATTATTGTATGCTGCATGCATGCTGGCCACTATCTGATTCATAGTGACAATGCTGTGTGTTGGAATGTGGAGTGGAGGATCTGGTTTGGGGGCATTCAGTCCTGGGAAGGTTTGACTGGAGAATTCCTGGTGCATATGGTGTGTAATATCCTGGGTGGCACTGTGATTTATTGCCATTGAGAATGGAAGATGATATAGTGAGCATGGTGTTAATGATGGGTTATCTGGTAGCTGTAGTGTGTAGTATGGAACCATGGCTATGTATGCCAGTGTTTTCCAGACTGTAGTGAAGCTGCCATGGTTACATGGCATTGGTAAATGACCATTCTGGCCTTCAAAAACAGGTGCCACTATGGTGGCATAGTACCTCTGGCTTCCACATATTATTCCAGTGTGGTACAGGTACCAAGATAGAGGTGATAGATGGTGAGTTCTGCTATGGCTCTGGTGCTAGCTACACTTCCTACCACACCAGTTCCATTTCATGGTGTTCATGTTCCTCTATACACCATGCCAAAGCATTAGATGATGGACCAGGGCCTTTCAACCTAATTTTGTACTCCACAGCCATTGAGAAAATACAATGTTCTGCTACAGGTCTGGCACTAGCTACACTTCCTACCATGCCAGTCATATTTCAGCATGTGGACCTTTCATTATGCACTGTCCACAAGCATTGGACAATAGCCTGGGGCCTTTCCAACTAATTGCCTATTCCACAGCCATTGAGAAAATGCAATGCTGCCTTTCCCAGTACTGATGCAGCAGTGCCAGTAATGCATAGATACACTATGGTCTCATCATTGGTCTTGTACAGATTGATATCCAGCCACTTGGCTCATGACAACTGCTGTGCCAGGATAGGCCACTTGCTATTCTGGCCTCCTGGGATGTGATTATTGATGATCTCTTATCTTGTGGTCATCACATGTGTCAGCCACACTATGTAATAACATTTGCACCCAATCCAACTCTACTCTGAATCACCATGGATGTCAGGACTGCTAATCTATCCTACCTCTCCATGATAATCCAATACATCAGTGTCTGATGTAGACAGGTTCACATATACTTTGCAGCAGGCCAACAACCCAAGTGCAATCGACTGCCAGATGACTGGTATTGGCAGGTTCAGGTGGAAACAGTGAGTTTGTCAAAATGGATGCTGGTTCACTGTGTCATGGACATTTCCACAGCATATATTGAAGCAGGCCC